TGCTCTCTAATGTTGAGTAGACTAAGTTTGCCTTCTCATGTTTGCCTTCCTCCTGGAGAGACCTATTCCTGCCATTTTTCTGTGTTTTTCCTGTAGAATCACAAAGGCTGATACCAAGAAATAGCCAAATCACATAGCTCTGATGAGACTTGAGATAACTACTGAAAAACTTCCCCCATAAAGTGAGGCTGCCTACCACCCACCTTGCCACTTCCAATCCATGGCCCTCACTAAGACCATTCTTAATGGCATTCTGAAAAACAAGTATGACCATGTGTATAACTGATGTTTCACATCCCCAAAGGGCAGCTAAGTTAAGGGAAGCTGTGATGGACAGTCCCATGTACATATCCCACATCCCATTCAAGGACACATTGAGATGCCACTCTGCTTTTCTTATCTCTAGACTTTCTCCAAAGTTACAAAAACCAGATGAACCCACAGACAGATGTAGCGCAAAGTCCAAGGAATGATTGTCCCTAAAGACAGCATTCAACCAATGAAGGATGAAAGTTGGTGCAGAAATGTCCCTGGCTCCTACTCTTTAGTGAGACAATTCTGAGATATGCTCTATGCAATTCATTAAAGGACTCTCAGCAAGACTGGTTCATGAGGGTTATCAATGACACACACAGTTTCTGCTGTTCTTCCTCCTCTGTGTCACTTTTGCACACCCCATCTTTCCCCTGGGACCCTCTTCCAAACAAATCAAATGCACCCAAGTCCTCATCTTAGGCTCTGCTTACAGAGGAACTCAAACTAAGACACCATGTCATTCCCTTTCTTCACACTCTCCACAATCTCTTCATACTTCAGACAAAAATGAAGCTCCTTAGCTTAATTTTCAAGGCCTTTAAGAATTTGGCTCTGGACTGCTACTCCTTATTCAAACCCCAAATGCCTGCTGCACCTACTGACATGCAGTTAAAACTCACCCTTCAGATGCACACCTTCACCTCTTCTTTCATGCCAACTTCTCTCTTCTTTATGTTATTGTACCCATATTCCTCCTGCTCATCCCTCCAGACCCTGGTTAAGAATCCTTGCCCACTCCACCCTCTGCACCAGGATACATTTCCCTGGTGGCTTTTTCATGGCATCAGTGTTAGTGTACCTGCTCATTTCCACTGCAAGATTGTGTTCCTCAAGGGACAACCAGGTCTTAATTTGTCAGTGAGCCCAGAGCATACTATAGGTATACGCAAGCATTTTTAAAGGGCCACATGGCTTTTCTCTCTGTCCTTTGCTGATTTGGTGTCCTCTAAGTGTCCTGCACATTGTTATCTTTTTATGTAGGCAACAAAGACCTCTTTTTGAAAGAAGCAGCATGAAGTGGCTCGTTCAAACATTTACTGATGTATCTACCCTGAAAAATGCCTTCTTCTGGAGGGAGGGGAGTGGAGAATGTTTCTCTGCAGACATCCATGCAAAGGCCAAGACAGATGAGGCTCCCAGGGAGAAGAATTGTGGGGCCCTAAAATGTCAGAGATGAGCAAAACTAAGATACAGTCCAACCAGGAGTGAGGAAGTGATTGGATCAAAACAACAATCCAAGGACAGGAAGCCCAGGTTCTGAATTCCCAGGTAAACATTCTTTCCATCAGCCCATGTGGCCACCCATACCACAGTACCGCTCTGGTATCCGAACTAGACTGGCTAAGCCTCCATCTTATCTAGCAGATCAGAATGCAGTGTATTTTGAAAGGTGAGGAAGTAGAGGGAAGCAGTGCTTTGAGGGAAATAATTGTTCTGTGCACCCCAATTCAAACTCAATCTGGCGAATTTCCCCAGAGAAATCAGAACACTCTTTATAGGACAAAGCTGGAGGAAAATGAAAAAAATAAAAGCAGGGATAATTGTGTTGATGGATCAGGTTTTCAAGTATGTGCTGTGTATTATAAATATTTTCCTTGTTTTCTTATCCCTAGGTATACCGGGAAAAAGCTACCTTTCCACATTGTGCATTGTATAAGACACATGATTATGAATTTAGTAAGATAGGAAAGGCCTTGTCTAACTCATTTTCATTTCTCCAGCATTGACTCATTAACTATACTACCACCTTAGACTAATGGAAAGACGGGATTACATATTCAGCAAGGCGGATGAACAAGAGAATAGATAAGATGGATGGATGATTGGATGGATGGATGGATGGATGGATGGCAGAGGAATGAAGGGATGGGTGAAGGAGTGAGATCTCACCTCAGTGCTTTCCTTTCAGCCCTGTTTCTTTGTGACCTCTTGTTTATTCTCTGGACTGCACGCCCATTATCTTTTTCCTTTTTCCATGATTACTATTAAGACAGAATATGTTTTCCCAAGCAAGTAGAATATCTATATAACCCACAGGTTTCACAGGCTCTCTATGTTAGTTAGATTTCTATCCCTGGGACAAAATGGTTGGGAAAGTCATTTTAAAGGAGGAAAGATTTATTTTGACTCATAGCTTCAAAAGTTTCATTCCATAGTGACTTCGCCCCATCATTTCTAGGCCTGTGGTGAGGCAGAACATCATGACGGAAGGGAAAAATAGAGAAAAGTTGCTCACCTCATGGCAGCCAGAGAGCAGACAGTGAGAAAATCAAAGAGGAAATGGCTGTAAGAGATAACCTTCTAGGGCCTGCCCCCGTGACCTATTTCCTCCCACTAGGCCCCACTGTCTAAAGTTGCCACAGCCTCTCAATAATGCTACCAAATTTTGCATCCATGAATGGATTAATCCACTGATGCAATCAGAGCCCTCATGATCCAGTCACTTCCCCCAAACCCCACTTCTAATCACTGCTGCATAGGGGACCAAGCCTTCAATACATGAGCCTTGAGAATATCCCAGATCCAAACTATAACACTGTCCTTGTCTCCTGGAGAAATAAGTCTTCTCCACTGTGAAAAGCCTTTCTAGTACCTTTCTGAACCAGTTGGGCCAGTCCTTAGAAGTCTGTCAGGTGTCAGAAGCCATCTTCCAGACATCTTCAAGAAAGCAGACTTGAGACCCCCCTGAAGGTTGAGATCCAACCTGTACCAAGGCAAGCTCCACAGCTCTATGACCAGTCCAATGCCACCTCCTGAGGCAGTTTCCCCTTTCAAAGCCCATGCCTCCCTTCACCATTGCCTCTCCGTTCATCCTAGTATTTTGCATAACATAGATTCTCTGGAGAGTTTCCATCATGTTTATTTCAGGAACTCCAGCGGTTACTATTAGCATGACCTACGTATTTTTTGATGTCCTAGGTGTTCTTCAATTATCATTAACCCAGTATGTTTCAAAACCAGTCTTACAAGTAATTATAGGGAAGAACTAGTTTTGCTTCTTTCCGATCAACAGGATGAAATAATAAGAGAAGGATTTCAATCATGAGATGAGAAATCTGCTTCTTAAGCAAAAATCTAGGAGAAAAATTGGCCACTTGGGAAAGAAGGAAACAAAAGTTTATTGATCCTCTCTGGTGCACTAGATATCTTCACCTGTTATGTCTCATAATCCTCCAAACACTATATAAAATATCACAATTGCCACTTTTATAGTTGGGGGAACAGAGGCTTAGAGAAATTGGGAATATCTTCAAGATAAAAAAGAGAGTAAGTGGAGGACCAGAGATATGAGCATGCCAACAAACTTTTCAGGTACAGAGTCTTTCTAGACCTTGCTTCTGGCTAGATCTAATCATGCCCCAGCATACCGTCCTTGCAAGACAGCATCTTATGGCTAGAGAAAAGGCAGCCATGTTCTTCCTAGACTTTGATCTCTCCTCGCCTCCACTGAACAGAGTTGATAGGTCCAAGGTTTGACATTATACCCAAGCCTGACCAATAAGACTCCTTCTCTGGGATTTTTTGCTTTGGAATTAGGAATTAGAGACAACCCTCTCTGATATCTCTGGCATGCAAATCAGGGGCCATGGGCAGTCATTCACAAGGCCAAGTGGAGATGAAAGAGAAACAAAAAGGGAGAGAATGTCTGTGCCCTTGAAGAAGATGATGCCCAAAGCTCACCTGTCTCTTCCCTTCCTGGAACTCAGGGGTTCAACACCTCTTTGTTATCCATCAATCAGTAAGTATCCCTTCTGCCTAAGCTTGCTGTAGTCAAATTTCAGTCTTTAGCAACCATATAGTGTTCAGACTAATACTTAAGTCCTATATGCACATTTTCTAGTCCTTAGTTGAAGACCCAATAAATTAACCTGTGATCAGTTGAGTCAAGGATGCCTCTGCATTCTATAACACAAGCCTTGAAAAGCTTCCCTTATCTGAGATTGGGTGGTGAATTTTTAAGGAATCCAAAAGATTGGCCCTAACTCAAAACAGCTCAGTAACTGAGCAAGAGAGGAGTTGAGAGATGTAGCTTCTTCAGTCACACAGAGCCTGTCCCACACTCTCAGCCCCTGCCTCCTCACCTCTAGAATGAGACAGCTGCCTAGACCCAAATTTCAGTCTCTTGCCTACCACCTTCACCATGGGAAGCAGAGTTCATAGAACACTTTTTAAAAACGGGTTCCCTTTGTTGTTCTTTACCTGTGAATAATAAATTGAATGTACCAGCCACATTTTCCCGAGCCACACTAAAATGCATAAACCACTCAAGTAAAACATGTTTGACCGTGTACCACCCAAATCCACTTGGGCTCCACACTCTGGAAAACAATGGAGCCAATAATCTCTGAGAACCACGTCACAGAAGGCAATGATAGGAGACCAGGCCAGTCCAGTGGGAATTCATACAACAAATGATTTCAGAGTCCCTGCTCCAGGGCGACCAGTTTGGGAAATTGTAGCAATATGTGTAGTTTTATCTGACAGTAAGTGAGCCTTTATGATGGGCTTGCACTGGACTAAGCACTTTACAGCTGGTACCTCAGTTTTATCCACTGTAAAATCCCATAAGTTTGGTGTAACTTGTTTCTGAATCTCAGAAAGGTGAATTATTCATCACTTAGTCCCCAAGCCTAGTATATTAGTTTTCTATTTCTGCCCCAGCAAATCATCACAAACGTAGTGACTTAAGGCACAATGCATTTATTATCCTACAGTTCTGTAAGTCACAGTTCCAGCAAGGGTCTCACTGGGCCAAGTTCAATGCATCAGCAGGGCTATGTTCTTCACTGGACACAATAAGACGGGATCTGTTTCCTTGTCATTTCTAGCCTTGAGAGGCCACCACATTCCTTGGCTCATGGCCCCAACTCCATCTTCAAAGCTTCACTGTGCCATTCCCATGTTGCCATCTCTCTGGTACTCTGTAGCCAAGAAAAATGGTCTGTGTTAAGTACCTATGACCAGATTTTGGGACTCCTGGATAATTAAAGAAAATATTCCCCATCTCAAAATCCTTAGCCTTAGTTGTTCCTGCAAAGACCCTCATGCTATGTGAGGTAACGTAGTCACAAGTCCCAGAGATAAGGACATGGGCATTGCTGAAACACCACTAATAGTAAAAGACAGACATGACATTCAGACTTTCATCCCACAGGTTTATCTACCATGCTAGACAGAAGCTGTTCTCAAGGGGCCTGGAAAGAAATCAGAGATAGGGCCTGGGATTGGGGGATTTAGCTCAGTGGTGCTGCTGCCTGCTTCGCAAGTGCAAGGTCCCAAGTTCGATCCCCCATACCAAAGAAAAATAAAAGGAAAGGAAAACAAAAAAGAAATAGGAGGTAGGTGGAATGACACATGGCAGTCACAACCACACCCGGCCACTGAGCAGCTGAAATGAGACTGGTGATGACTGAGATGTGCTACAAGGGTAACACAGGCACTGACTCGCAAAGACTTGGTGCAAAGCATGCAGAATACTGTAATATGGTTTGCATCGATTACATGATAATGATGTTTTGGAATTATTGAGTGAAATCTATTATCAAAATTTATTTCACCTTTTGGTTTTTACTTTTCTTAATGTGGCTACCAGAAACTGACATGTAACTCACGCAGTGTAGCTGTTGGATGGTGCCTATTTAGAATACTTGGTATACAACAGCAGAGGAAGTGAAACAGCACAGGGTGAGTGGGGAATAAACTGAGTGTGCCATTTTCAAATATTCACACTGGGTGGGGGATTCATGGGCTGTACGGGCAGAAAGGCAGGCACTAGACATGGCATGATTCAGACAACGAGCCAATGTTTTGCAAATCCCTCTCATGGGTTAAACTGTACTGTGTTTGACTAGAAACCAAGATAAGTAGAAAGGAAACAAGGAAAATCATAATTTTAAAATGATTCTTTTAAAAGAATCATTGTAGCTTCACCATAAAAAAGTTAGTCCTTTTTTCTTTTCAGAAAACTTACCTCAAAATTCCTAAGAGTGTTAAAAATATAGTAAGTCCAGTGGGCCCATGCTTCACTTTTTTCTTTCTTTTTCTCTTTTTGTATTTGTATATTTTTGATATATAATAAATACACGTATCATGGGGGAAACTGTTACATAAACCTGTCATATCTTGATCCTTTTTCCTTCCTCTTCCCCTCCCTCCTATTTCTCCTCATCTCCAGATTCCCTTCCTATCTCCACAGGATCTTTTCACTCAAGAATAGGCCATCCTCTCTCACCTGTAAATCGAATCTCCGCTTTCCATTGATTTCTCCTCCTTGAAACCGCATACATAAATGCACCTACCTCAAGGCCATGGTGTGACTTTCTCTTGAAGGCCCATTTGCTGTTCTTCTTGAGTGCATATTTTTTAAAGTCTGCTTAATGAATCTCTTTATGCCTATTACTGGTACATCTTGAAAATTCTTTTCCTGTGCTGGAAGTCAGCAACCTTGCAACCTGTCCCATGGGTGGTGTGAGTCAACGTTCCCCACCTCTGCTTTGGAGATCTCTTAGGTCCACGTCTGGTGACAAAACCAGTGAAGGATTATAAGCTAGCAAGTGCCAGGGCTGGGTTTCTGTTTAAGAAAGAGCATTCTTCGTCAGAGTTATGACAGGCTGGGCTGGGAAAGAGTCCTGGTCTTCAGGCAAATGAAGCTTGGGAAGATGGTGAGTCATGCTCCTGAAAATGAAGTAGCTAGGAAACAGCACGAAGGGCTTGCAGGGGGAAAAAATGGGGAAGAGTGGCTTTCTGTCTCTCTGAACAAAGTTGGGTAAGAAGCAATGAAATGGAATTGTGTAAAGTTGTAAATGGAAAAAAATCACACCCCAGGGAGGGTCTCAGGATGGAGGGACAAAGGTGCTAAAGTCCAAAGCAGAGACAGAGGAATCTCGAGCAGACAGCGGGGAAGACATGTTTCATTCTGGAAATCACAAACTGGAGGCAGCTTCCTCAGGGACAATGCGGATGCCTGGGGGCGGGGTCAGCGCAGCAAGGGCCAGAAAGGCCACCTCCCGCCAGCAAAGAGGAGAAGACACCCCGCCCCCGTCCTCTCAGCACCGCTGGGCTCTTTGTTATGGAACCGGTGGCAACACACTTTGCAAGGGAGGCCAGCAGGTCCTGAGACCTTCCGGAGCCCTGTCTGCAATGTGCCTTCATTAAATATTTCACAGAGCAGAAAGCCACTTCAAAAGACAGCAGATCTGCAGCTGGAGGCTGCAGAGTCAGTGACAGCCACTATGGCTGCAGGAACTCCCCACATGCTTTTGTTTGTCCCTCTTGTCTTGTCCCAGTTAAATTCAAAACAGAGATATAACCCACAAATATTAAATCCATTAAAGCAGAACAAAGGAGTCGCAATGTAGGCACAGAGGGTAGAGGCAGGAGGAAGGACAATCATGGGGCAAAGGGACCAAGGGACTCCTCAGACCTGAGGCCAGGCCAGCCCACCATCACTGCAGGCCAGGAAGCCCAGGTTCCAGAGCAAGTCGAGGCCCATGTCTATACCCTGGATCTCCAGGCTCCTCGGAAAGGCAAGACTTTTCTGTACTCATGAGATTACAGAAGGACCAAGGAGAGAGGAGAAAAAAGTGGAAAACAAAAAAGAAAGTGACTCCTGGGAGAGAATGTGAGTTTTACTTTTTCTCCCTCCCCAAATGCCATTGAAATGACGGTAAACATGTTTTTAATGAATAAAAAGTAAACCAACAAACACAGAAAGAACACCAGAGATAAGAGCCATTTTCCTGGTGGCAGGAAAGAGGGTGACAAAGAATGACTTGGTTAGACCCCAGGGAGCAGATCGAGGACTGCAGGGGCTGGGAGGAGAGTCCTTTACATCCCAAGGTCCGCAAAAGGCTCAGCACCTGGACCCTCAGGAGGCAGGGCTCCTCCAGGCTGTTAGCGCAGTTACCAGTTTAATGGCTCCAAGGACTGTGGGATTCAGGACGCTTCCTTGACTTCTCTCTCTTGACTTGATGCCCTGACCCCCAACTCACAGTGACCATTCCAAAAAGTTCCACCAGAAATAGGGAGCTATGATTTTTTTTTCACAACTTTTTGATTTACCCCAGGTTTAATCACTGTTTTTCATATGCTTAGATTCCAGAATCATTAACTCAACCCCCCAAATCCCTGCTAATTATCTAAAACTCTTCTTTCTATGTTCAGATATATTGAGCATTTCATCGTTTTAATTAATTCTCTCCTTGAACTATGTGCAAGAAAAAAATTGTAGTATAACTGACAACTTAGTTTTGGGTTCCATGTACATCATCAAAAGAATGTAAACTCTCAAGATCAACCCAGTGGAAATTATGATATAATCTTATGGAGAGAATGGGGACTAAAGAATGTGTGTGGGTGAGAGACAGCTAAACCCTCATCTTTCACTGTGAAAGTATCAGATAACATTTAAAACCGAGGTCAAGAGATACAAAATAGGCAAATTATTAGAGGTACAGATATCCACACCAATGGAGTCAACTTGGAGTTGAAAGGGAGTGCTTTGAAGGAACACAATTAAGGAAAAGATTGAAAATAGCAGGGGGTTTTTTTGTAACCTATTTTGCAGAGCTACTTAACTCTTTAGACTGAATGTGGATATAACTTTGAAAAAAATATACCCATCCACCCACCTTACATTCCTCCCATGTTCACTGTCTGAATTCCTAAGACACAAGTTGCTCTTAGCCCACAGCAATCCAAAAGGTCATTCCTTACTTCCAACGACATTTCCCTCAAGTTTTTTTTATTGAAAATGTTAAAGTCTATAGAAAAATTTAAGGAAGGTACAATAAATTCTCATACCCTTTTCAAGAATACAAATGTTCTCCATGTTTTCTTTCATGTGTGTGTATGTGAGTGTGTGTGTGTCTATGTAAAACATTTGAAAGAATTTCAGCCTGTGTTTCCTAATAAGAACATTTTCAAATCACTATGGAGATTTCTCAAAAAACTGAAATTAGAAATTCCATTTGAACCAGTATTCCTCTTCTAGTTATCTTTCCAAAAGCATTAAAGACATCATATAATAGTGATACTTCCATACCCATGTTTATAGCAGCACAATTCACAATAATTAAATCTTAGAAGCAGCATATATGTCTATCAACAGATGAGTGGATAAAGAAAATGTGTTTTTTTACACACAATGGAGTACTACTCTGTCATAAATGAAGATAAACTTGAGTCCTTTGTAGGAAAATGGTTGCACTTTGAGACCATAAAGTGAAATTAATCAGATACACAAGCTTAAATATCACAAGGCTTCTCTTATATGAGAACCATGAAGTATAAATAAAGAGCAAAATGAAAGATCATATGATGTAGGGAGATAGATCTTTCACAAAGAAGAAAGAGATAAAGGGACGAAGGGAGGAGAGAAGGTGGGAAAGAAAGGGGATGAAAAAAGGAAATAAGATGTATCATTATATGTACCAACTCCACACAAAGAATGTAAACATTATGCACTTCAAAAGTGTATAATAAAAGAAAGAAATCAGGAGATAGATGGAAGGGGGGAGGGAAATGGGATGGATACAAGAAATTATGATGTATTTTGTACATGTACCAATTCCCCACAAAGAATATAAATTTTATGCACCACAAACATGTACTAATTGAAAGTATTCACAAGAGACTTATAAATTCACCTAATACATAGTCTATATATTTATATATGTATATAAACACATGCATATACATATGCATATATTAAAGTGTGTGCATCTACACAGTGCATAGATGTGCATATACCCACATGTAAATACATATATTTATTTACATATCTGTGCATACATAGATGCACATGCACATATAAGCCCACATTCACACACGTATACATGCCTGCATACACATACACATGTGTATACACATCTGCACATGCAATACACATGTACACATACATACAGACATCCACACACACATAATAGTCACACCTATGTCTTTTTGCATCTTGCAGGCAGTGGCTTTCTTATCAGTTTGAAGAGCCCAGGCTCATTGTCTTTTAAAATGTCCCACATTGTGGATTCCTACACTTGCTTCCTCATTGGATTCAGAACATTTTCACCAAAGACAAAGGGTGGGTGATGCCTTTGGCTTCTCCATAAGGAACTTCACAAGAAGGCCAGAGCAGCAGGATCCCTGTGCTTGGTGGTGCTGAATTTGATCATTTAGTTGAGGTGGTAACTACAAGATTGCTCTTCTCTAAAGGTCCACCTGTCTTTGAAGCCATATGGATATACTGCTCCCTGATGGCTCCAGCATCCAGGGCATCCTTAAATCCATGACTCCTCTGGAGGTTGCAAAGTGACAATTTTCTGATTCTTTCTACATTGATTAGCTGGCATTCTTCTGTAAAGAAGAGCCTCTCTCTCTCTCTCTCTCCCTCCCTCCCTCCCTCCCTCTTTCCCTTCATCCCTCCTCCTTCCCCTGTCTTCTCATCTGTTCCCAAACATGGAACCCTGAATACCATATTATTCTGTTTGATGCTTGGGGAAATGTCTCCCAAATTTGGCCTATGGGAGCCCAAGCAAGCTGGCAGCCATGTACCTTACTCCTCTCTGCATGTCTCATTGCTATGTGACTTTGGACAAGAGATAACCTGTTTCTCAGTTTTCTCATCTGGAAAACAGATAACATAACAATAGACTTGGGCAGGTTTTGTACAAGGCTTAAATGAGTGCATGTCAGACCTTTGGACCTGTGCCTACCACATGATAAACCCTATGTAACTGCTTGTCATTACATATTCTTATTATCATCATTGCCATTGCCACCACTCAGCCCAGACTCTGGCACAGAGCTAGAGCCCCATGGACAGTTAAGGAAGGAAGGAAGGAAGGAAGGAAGGAAGGAAGGAAGGAAGGAAGGAAGGAAGGAAAGAAGGGAAGTTGGTCAGAGTAAAAACCTTTAAAGAAGAGGAGATATTTGGGAAGACCTGAAAAGGCTTCCATTTGCAACTCCCTTACTCAGCTCAGGACTGCTCTGGCACTGACACCCACCCTGGAGGTGGATGAAGTCTGGCCCACCCCACTGCTCCTGGGGAAATATTTGGTGAACTGAATTAATATGGGGCTATTAGATAAAGTGAGCTCTTGCTGGTGAAATGTATTCTTCCCCATCTGCTGCCTTCTAAACAATGCAGTGCTGTCAGTTCATTTGTGGTGCCAATTCAGCTTTTATGTAAGGTATTTTTCATTTCATTTTCTTCGGTGAAAAAGTCACTGATGCAAGGCAACTAAACCCCAAGTAGGCCATGCTCCCTGGAGCACGACCTTGGCCTAGTCTCCACATCCTTGATCCCAAAAGACACCTTGGTTCTCTCTGCAAGGACCATGAAAAATCCATGAATGTTGGGTCAGGAGTGGTAAAAGAAGAGCACATAGGAGGTTGAAGCTGAGATGTGTGTGGTGCTGGTGTATGATTCTTCCTAACTGCATATGTTTGAAGACTTCCAACATACATTGAGAAACAAAGTCTGAGGGTGGGCATCTTAGTGTGGTTTTTACAGGGTCAAAAAAGGTTTCTGGTCAAATAAGGAGAAGGAGCAGAGAAACAATCCAGACAGAGAGGGAGAGAAGTAGAGCTCAGAAATGTGCAGCCACCTACACTTCTGGCCAACTAGTTCCAAACCTGGGGGTTCCTATGACCCCTTTAGATCCAATAAGTGCCTACAATGCTCACAGAACTCAGGACAGTACTTTTACAATTTATTATGGAGGATATAGATCAAGACCACCCAAACAAAAGATGAACTCTGGAAGGGTCCCAAGGGCAGAGCTTCTGTGCTCTCTCTTTTGTGGGGTCTGGAATTGTCATCACCCTGCTCATCAGTTTGCTCTAATGAGGTAGGTGGGCAGGGCAGGGAGAATATAGGACAGAGAGAAGGAGAAGGAGAGAGAAGGAGAAAATCACAAAAAGTAGGAGAGAGGGAGGAGTGGGAGGG